CACCGGCACCTCGAGGGCACTGCGCTCAGTGGGAAGTCAGGCAGAGAAAGACACACCGCACGGGGTTTTCTTACACGCGGAATCTAAAGAGCAAGTAAACAAGCACAGGACACAGAAGCAGACTCACCCGCTGGGAGCCACTGCTGGCTGCCACAGCGGAGGGGGCGGGGCCGGGGGAGGGGCCACGAAGCCCAGATCAGCAGTCACAGAATGGTCCCAGGGAACAGTCAACAATATCGCAGTGGCTACGGACGCTGCCAGGAGGGTGCCGGCAACACTGGGGAGCTGTCGAGTATGGACGTCTAGCCCACACTGTACACCCCAAACAGGAGACTAATATTGTACGTGAACTGTCCTTGAAGAGTAAAAAATAAAGGGCTCAAGTCTTCAAAATAACGAGTCACATAACATAAAACCACGACACGGGGATATAAAACGGGTTAAACACAGGGCTCCGCACGCCTGGCGCACTGAGGACGCCGGCTCCAGCTCCAGGGCGGCTGCTCTGGGTCCTCTGGGTCCTCTGTGCCCCGGCGGGTCCCCTGTGCCCCGGCGGGTCTGCACAGCTGGCCCTCCCCGGCTCGGGACTGGCTCCCTGCGGCACCCTGGGATCTCTGCACACGGAGGAGTGTGAGCAGCTTTGGAGGGTGGGGCCCAAGGCGATCTCCCTGACTCTTTCCGTAAGCGTTCTCCTGCCGTTTTCTCCCTTCATGTGCTATTTCTCAACCGTCTTTCTTCTGTTTAAAAGCAAGGTGTCCGCAGTGTGGGTCCTTCCGCAGGCTTTGAGGAAGAATCGGGTCCAGCCGCTCTCCCGGCTTCTGGTGGGGGCTGTGGGAGACCCTGGTGGGTCCTGATTTGCGGAGGGATAGCTCCAGGCTCTGGCTTCCCACGGCGGTCCTCCCTCCGCGGCTCGGCCTGTCCTTACAGCATTCGAGCAGGTTAACCCGGGACACACGGACTGGTGGGGTCAGCGCCCCTCCTGACAGGTCCATCCACCCAGCCCCCCACGGGGGCATGTGTCTGTCCCCAGGCTTGGTGCTACCTGGCAGAGCTGCTACCAACACTCACGCACAGATTCCTCTAAGCGATGACCTCGGAGCGGGGCTGCCGGGGGAGCTTTAAGTGCATCCCGGACTTCACCGGAGAATCCCAAACTCCTGAGTGGCTGCGCCTCCCCGCCCCGCAGCCGCATGTGCGTGTGCAGGGCTGGGCGTCCCGGCAGAGGCCTGGCGCCCTGCTCCGCAGCTCAGCCGTCCTTCCACACGTGTGGTGGGGTGTCACGCGCGTGACAACGGTCCTTCTCTAACGACTCACAGCGTGGAGCACCTTCCCGATGCTAATTTGCCATCTGTGCATCTCCGTGTTCAAAACATTTTGGGGTAGATTTGGGTTTCGGTTGTTTCTCCTTTTTTCGATCTTGAGGATTCTTTACATTCTGGGGACAGGCAGGTCCTGTGTCACAGACGTGCAAACATGTTCTCCTGGTCTCCGAACTCCCTTCCAGAGCAAACATTTTCATTCTGATGAACCGTAAGTTAGCAATTCTCTCTCACACAGCATGCTCGGTGCTGCAGCTGAGAACTCTGTCTAAGCCGAGGCCGTGAAGGTTTCTCCCAGGCACACTTCTGAGGGTTTTCATGTCGTGGGTCTGGGGCCACGCCGAGGGGCTTTCCGTGTAAAGCCTGAGGCGGGGTTCCTTTCCCGGCACCCAGATGTCCGGCCGCGCCAGTCTGCGTGTCCAAGACACTGCCCTTTCTCCGTGGGTTCCTTTCGCACCTTTGTCAAGACCAGTGGCCACATGTGCATGGGTCTCTCCTGGACTCTCCCTTCTACTCCACGATCCGTCCTGCCCACACCCCGGTGCCTTCGGAAAGGACGCCCGACATCGGGTAGTGACAGTCCTCCAACTTTGTTCTTCTCTGTCACAATGTCTAGCTATGCTCGGTACTTTTCCTCCACACACACATTTTAGAACTGGCTTGTCCACATCATCAGACGAGTCTCCTGAGACTTTGACTGGGAATGTGTTATAGCTGCAGGTGGTTTTTTTTTTTTCAATCCTCACTCGAGAACATTTTTCCATTTTTTGTTCAGATAGAGTGGGAGGGAGAGAAAGGAAGAGAGAAACATTGACGTGAAAGGGACACATCGAGTGGTCGCCACCCACACGACCAACCAGGGCCGGGGACAAACTGCAACCAAGGTACGTACCCTTAGCGGGAACCGAACCCGGGTCTCTCTGGACCGCAGGCCGACGCTCTAACCGCTGAGCCAAACCGGCCAAGGCTGCAGGTCGTTTTGAAGGGTGGCACTTTACATGGAATCGGCCAGTCCATGAACACAGGTGTCTCTCATTTAGTTCTTTCATTTTTTAAAACATATTTTTTCTTTATTGATTTTAGAGATAGAGAGGAAGAGAGAAGGAGAGAGAGAGAGAAACATTGATGAGAAACAATATCACTGCCTCCTGCATGCCCCCACTGGGGACCAGGCCCACAACCTGGGCATGTGCCCTCACCTGGAATCGAACCGGCACCTCTTGGTGCAGGGTCAACACTCAACCCTGAGCCACACCGGCCGGGAAGTTCTTTGGTTTTTTAAATCTCAGTGTTCTGCATACAGATTCTGCACATACTATTAGGTTAGATTTATACTGAAATATTCCAATGTCAACATTAAGTTACTTGCTGTATGCTGACAATTTGGTGAACTCACTTATCAGTTCTAAGAGCGATTTTGTAGATTTCTTGCCACTGTCTACATGGACAATCGTGCTGTCTAGAAACACATTTTTATTTATCCTTCTCTAACCTAAATGCCTTTTCCTTTCCTTTCCTTATTGCACACATACTTCATCCACTTGCTTATGAGACAAGTGCCCCGGGTTCTTCCCTCCAGGCACGAGCCCTGGAGAATCCCGCGGGAGCCCGGAGTCTGCGAGGTAACAGGCCCTCCCCCCGCCCTCACACGGGGCGGTGAACTCCGCAGGCCAGCGGACCTGCAGCTGCTTCCGTTCCTCCACAGGACTAGAGAGACCACGGGCAGCGCCCTGGGCAGACGGGGAGGCACCCAGGCGGCAGAGGGAAGGCAGAGCTCACGTCTGACCCCTCTGGCCTGCTCAGAGTCCCGGGAGAGCCGGGTGGGGACCGAATGAAGGACGGATGATATGTCCATAAAAGATGAAGAACATTTTTTCCTCTGGGACGTGAGGGAGGAACAGCTGACTGATGAAGATACACTGCGGATCGGAGGGGAAGAAGACGGACATCCACTCATGGCAGCTGGACTTATAAATGCTCTTCCAGGCCAGTCCCTGGGGTCAGAACTAGCCTGAGCAGGTGAGGTGGTCCCCGACGACCACCAGTGCAGACAGAACATTCTGGGACAGTTTCGACCTGTCCACTGCAGGACTATGAGCACTGATGCCTTCAGCAGCGTGGACCACAGCGCTGCCGGGCTCAGTCGTGAGACGGGAGCGAGACCACAGCGGCTCCCACCCTTCATCTGCGGTCTGCTGGCAGGTAGAGCTCTCCTGGCTTACAGGAGCACAGTGCTCGTGCACTGCATTCTCGGGCAGGGGCGGGCGGGGGGAGACTGAGCAGATGCAGAGGACTAACACAAGAACCGATGACACCAGCGTGCAACTTGATGGAGGGGCCAGAGGTTGAAGAGCAAAGGAAAAATAGGAACAGTAACAAAATAGATCAATTTTTATGAATATTGAAAATAATGATTAAAAAACAAAACTACCTTTAATTCACAAAAATGAGGGCAAGCAATGTTACTAATATACCCGCGTAAGATAAAACATATCCAAATGGGATTAAATGTACATGTTTCATCCTAAGTAAATCCATCTGTAAAAACAACCACTGAATTCTTTGGCTTTTTAAACCACCCTGACACAGGTCACATCACTTCCTGGGCAGACACAGCAGAAAGTGCATGCGGCCATGAGAACACCCAGTGTGCACTTTCCTTCCAAGTCGGCTCTAAGCTGCTTCTTCCCGCAGCCCAGGGGTCCTCATCACACCTCGCTCCGGGAGGGCTCAGCCACGGCGAAGGTGATGAGCCAGGAGGAGACTCCAAGGACAAAAGGACTGCCACCGCCCACAGAAAGGTGTGCAAATAAACAAGGGTGTGCATGGGCACAACTCTCGTATCCACCGCTGGCTGACCCAAACTCCTGAAATGCCTTTGGTGTAAGAAATCATAGCTCTAGCACAGGCTCAGCCACTCAGAGGACAGGGTGTCGGGTTAGAACCCACCCCCAGCACAGACTCAGTCACTCAGAGGACAGGGTGTGGGGTTAGAACCCTCCCCACAGACTCAGCCACTCAGAGGACAGGGTGTGGGGTTAGAACCCACCCCCAGCACAGGCTCACCCACTCAGAGGACAGGGTGTGGGGTTAGAACCCTCCCCACAGACTCAGCCACTCAGAGGACAGGGTGTGGGGTTAGAACCCTCCCCACAGACTCAGCCACTCAGAGGACAGGGTGTGGGGTTAGAACCCACCCCCAGCACAGACTCAGCCACTCAGAGGACAGGGTGTGGGGTTAGAACCCACCCCCAGCACAGACTCAGCCACTCAGAGGACAGGGTGTGGGGTTAGAACCCACCCTCAGTACAGGCTCACCCACTCAGAGGACAGGGTGTGGGGTTAGAACCCACCCCCAGCACAGACTCAGCCACTCAGAGGACAGGGTGTGGGGTTAGAACCCACCCCCAGTACAGGCTCACCCACTCAGAGGACAGGGTGTGGGGTTAGAACCCACCCCCAGCACAGGCTCACCCACTCAAAGGTCAGGGTGTGGGGTTAGAAGCCTTCCCCAGCAAAGACTCAGCCACTCAGAGGACAGGGTGTCAGCTTAGAACCCTCCCCCAGCACAGACTCAGCCACTCAGAGGAGAGGGTGTCAGGTTTCACCCTCTCTCCAGCACTGACTCACCCAATGGGAGGACAAAGTGTCGGGTTACACCCTCCCCCAGCACAGACTCACCCACTCATAGGAGAGGATCCAGCAGCCACGCGCCAAGCCCAGCAGCACATTGAGGGTGCGCAGCGCCTTCCCGGCCAGCACGTGCGTGGTGGTTTCACACACCTCGGGGGCTAGTGAAAAGCCTTTCAACTTGGCTACAACCAGGGTGACGATGTTCTGCTTTCTATCAAATAGGGAAAAAGAAATCAACACAATAAGTGTTCCCTGCCTTGAACGTCAAGGTGATTGCACAGAATTTAAAAACAGAAAGCTGAAACTACAGTGATCTCGGCTACAGTGTTCACGTCCTGATTTCTTTTCAACCCGCCCTGCACGCTTGGGGGAGTGAAAGACCTTCAGACCTTGACTCTGAATGTCTGGGAACTGGCCGGGCTGCAACGCCCACCACGCGGTCCAGGCAGGGCCGAATCCGGCCACGCCACAGCACCGGGGCGCCCTGGACAGACCTGCCCGTTCTGCGGTGGCCAGGAGCCTGCCCTCTCTCGCTTGCATATTTCGTAGGCAAAACATAACATTTATTGAGAGTCACACACAGTTTTTCCATTAAGGGGAGGAAAAAGGCCCCTGTCATTGAACTGTCACATCAAACCTTTGGGTAAACTGCACTGATGCATTAAGACTCTTTGTAAAAAAAAAAATCTTCCAATTTTACTTCCTTACCAAGTACCTCTCCATTGTTCCTCCCCTGCTTCCTAATGCTTTCGTGACACACCGCTTCCCCCCTCCTGGCGAGGTTCGCAAATCCACAGAAATGCCAGGGTGTGCAGGGCTTCCTAAGCCACACTAGGAGTCAGTGCGTTCACAAATAAACTCTCCTCTCCAAAAAGCACACTGCAGAGGGAACGGGGCTGAATCTGGGGCACATTCATAGCTTAAAAGTATTACCAAACGTGGTCTACGTGCACCCCGTCTGCGGCCTGTTTTCACGGAAATGTCCCCAAGTTTTGATGCCTATCTCAAAACCTTAAAACCTATGACTGATACGAAGAAACAGGGTTTCCCCCGGTAAACAGGAACCGGTGCTGTATTTTTGTTGGAAGGGCTGAACTGTGCTGCATGTGTAAGGAGACGCAGGAGCGTGCCAGCACGCCGGGAACCCTCCACGGAACGTGGGGACGCCCGTTTCCACACACGTCCCACCCAGGAGCTTGCGTCAGGGCTGGGAGGGAGACGAGCCAGGCAGCGATGCTCCCGGACTGAACATTCGTGATGCATGGCGTGGGCGCTGGACACACAGAGCGCGGGCAGCAGGGAAGAGGACGAGCGAGATCCTGCAAAACCTCTGCTGGCCGGCTCATCCGCTCACAGGGTCTTCAGGGCCAAACCGCTCCGTCTCTGAACCACCTTTCAAATTCCCGGTGATCTCTAACTCAGGTGCGAAGGATCCCGCATCTCGCAGGGATACAGATCTCAGAATCGCCGAAAGCACAGCACCGCAGGGCGTGAAACAGAGGCGAACAAGCCTGTATTGAGTAGGAAGCTGCAAACGACGAGTACTTACTCAGCTGGCATGCTTGTCATGACTAATGTTCTTGTTGGCTAGAGGTTTCAAAAGAGAAGAACAAAAAACAGTCAGAAATATAGAAAACATTTTTCCCACATAAATAAACTTTAATACTTTTTTTAAAAAGTCACATCACTTAAAAATAAACATTTAGGCATATATCAAAGAAAAAAACATTCTTTTCCTGGAAACAAACAGCCCAGGCGACAGAAGCTGAGACAGCGCCCCCGAAGCAATCCCAAACAGCCCAGGACATGAGTGTCCGTCGATCTGTCCGTCCGTCCTGCCAGCAGAACCCCGTGCCGCCTGCAGGGCGGCGGCGGAGGGCAGGGAGGCATTCTGAGCGCGGAAGAACCATCCACCCAGGCTCCCGGGCCCAGGTCTTAGACACCCGCAATGCTAGTGCTCTGGCCCTGCGGCGGCCTGAGTCCTTGCCCCTGGCGCACACTGGGCGGCTTGCTGACGTGCCGTCCTCCGCTATGAACTGGGACCGCGAAGTTCTCATTTTCTTTATTCCTCAACTACAGTCTACCGTCAACAGTTCAGTATGATTTCAGAGGTACAGCTTAGTGCTTAGACAACCATCTACTTTACAGAGTGGTTCCCCAGATATTTCAAGTACCCACCTGGCACCATTCAAAGTTATTACATTATTGGTGATAGTCTCTCTGCCTAAAGTTTATTTATTTAAAATATTTTACTGAATTTTTTTTGAGAGAGGAAAAGGGAGAGAGACAAACATCAATGTGAGAGGGAAACATTAATCGGCTGCCTCCTGCATGCCCCCCACCAAGGGCATGTGCCCAGACTGGGAATCGAACCAGCAACCCTTCAATGCACAGGACGAGGCCAACCAACGGAGCCACACCGGCCAGGGCTAAAGTTTACTTGAATAAAGTAAGTAAAGTAAATAAAGCCAATCTTAAAAAGCGTCCTTACTTGCATGATAATTAAAGCATGCTACAGCAAAAATTGAAAGATTTGGAAATACAGCATTGAACATATACATTGCCCTGTTATTCTACAAGCCAGAAATTACTACTGCTCAACAATTTGGTATGTGTTCCACCAATGTTCTCTCTGTGAAAAGTGTGTGTACTTTTTAATATTACATATTAAAAAGAATGGACTCAAGCATTCATCCCCTTTGTAACTCATAGGATGTAGTTCAAATGCTACTAGCTGGGCCATACAGCCGTGAACCAGCCGTGGCCCTGCGGGGTCTGGACTGTCCCGTGAACCAGCCGTGGCCCTGCGGGGTCTGGACTGTCCCGGGAACCAGCCGTGGCCCTGCAGGGTCTGGACTGTCCCGGGAACCAGCCGTGGCCCTGCGGGGTCTGGACTGTCCCTGGGAACCAGCCGTGGCCCTGCGGGGTCTGGACTGTCCCGGGGAACCAGCCGTGGCCCTGGAAGTCTGGACTGTCCCGGGAACCAGCCGTGGCCCTGCGGGGTCTGGACTGTCCCTGGGAACCAGCCGTGGCCCTGCGGGGTCTGGACTGTCCCTGGGAACCAGCCGTGGCCCTGGAAGTCTGGACTGTCCCGGGAACCAGCCGTGGCCCTGGGGGTCTGGACTGTCCCGGGAACCAGCCGTGGCCCTGCGAGGTCTGGACTGTCCCTGGGAACCAGCCGTGGCCCTGCGGGGTCTGGACTGTCCCTGGGAACCAGCCGTGGCCCTGGAAGTCTGGACTGTCCCGGGAACCAGCCGTGGCCCTGCGGGGTCTGGACTTCTGGACTGTCCCGGGAACCAGCCGTGGCCCTGCAGGGTCTGGACTGTCCCGGGAACCAGCCGTGGCCCTGCGGGGTCTGGACTGTCCCTGGGAACCAGCCGTGGCCCTGCGGGGTCTGGACTGTCCCTGGGAACCAGCCGTGGCCCTGGAAGTCTGGACTGTCCCGGGAACCAGCCGTGGCCCTGCGGGGTCTGGACTTCTGGACTGTCCCGGGAACCAGCCGTGGCCCTGCGGGGTCTGGACTGTCCCTGGGAACCAGCCGTGGCCCTGCGGGGTCTGGACTGTCCCTGGGAACCAGCCGTGGCCCCTGCGGGGTCTGGACTGTCCCGGGAACCAGCCGTGGCCCTGGGGGTCTGGACTGTCCGGGAACCAGCCGTGGCCCTGCGGGGTCTGGACTGTCCCTGGGAACCAGCCGTGGCCCTGCGGGGTCTGGACTGTCCCTGGGAACCAGCCATGGCCCTGGGGGTCTGGACTGTGTGGGGGTCTGGACTGTCCCTGGGAACCAGCTGTGGCCCTGGGGGTCTGGACTGTCCCGGGAACCAGCCGTGGCCCTGGGGGTCTGGACTGTCCCGGGAACCAGCCGTGGCCCTGCGGGGTCTGGACTGTCCCTGGGAACCAGCCGTGGCCCTGCGGGGTCTGGACTGTCCCTGGGAACCAGCCGTGGCCCTGCGGGGTCTGGACTGTCCCTGGGAACCAGCCATGGCCCGGGGGGTCTGGACTGTGTGGGGGTCTGGACTGTCCCTGGGAACCAGCTGTGGCCCTGGGGGGTCTGGACTGTCCCGGGAACCAGCCGTGGCCCTGGGGGTCTGGACTGTCCCTGGGAACCAGCTGTGGCCCTGGGGGTCTGGACTGTCCCTGGGAACCAGCCGTGGCCCTGCAGGGTCTGGACTGTCCCGGGAACCAGCCGTGGCCCTGGGGGTCTGGACTGTCCCTGGGAACCAGCCGTGGCCCTGGAAGTCTGGACTGTCCCGGGAACCAGCCGTGGCCCTGGGGGTCTGGACTGTCCCGGGAACCAGCCGTGGCCCTGCGAGGTCTGGACTGTCCCTGGGAACCAGCCGTGGTCCTGCGGGGTCTGGACTGTCCCTGGGAACCAGCCGTGGCCCTGGAAGTCTGGACTGTCCCGGGAACCAGCCGTGGCCCTGCGGGGTCTGGACTTCTGGACTGTCCCGGGAACCAGCCGTGGCCCTGCAGGGTCTGGACTGTCCCGGGAACCAGCCGTGGCCCTGCGGGGTCTGGACTGTCCCTGGGAACCAGCCGAGGCCCTGCGGGGTCTGGACTGTCCCTGGGAACCAGCCGTGGCCCTGGAAGTCTGGACTGTCCCGGGAACCAGCCGTGGCCCTGCGGGGTCTGGACTTCTGGACTGTCCCGGGAACCAGCCGTGGCCCTGCAGGGTCTGGACTGTCCCGGGAACCAGCCGTGGCCCTGCGGGGTCTGGACTGTCCCTGGGAACCAGCCGTGGCCCTGCGGGGTCTGGACTGTCCCTGGGAACCAGCCGTGGCCCTGCGGGGTCTGGACTGTCCCGGGAACCAGCCGTGGCCCTGGGGGTCTGGACTGTCCCGGGAACCAGCCGTGGCCCTGCGGGGTCTGGACTGTCCCTGGGAACCAGCCGTGGCCCTGCGGGGTCTGGACTGTCCCTGGGAACCAGCCATGGCCCTGGGGGTCTGGACTGTGTGGGGGTCTGGACTGTCCCTGGGAACCAGCTGTGGCCCTGGGGGTCTGGACTGTCCCGGGAACCAGCCGTGGCCCTGGGGTCTGGACTGTCCCGGGAACCAGCCGGGGCCCTGCGGGGTCTGGACTGTCCCTGGGAACCAGCCGTGGCCCTGCGGGGTCTGGACTGTCCCTGGGAACCAGCCATGGCCCTGGGGGTCTGGACTGTGTGGGGGTCTGGACTGTCCCTGGGAACCAGCTGTGGCCCTGGGGGTCTGGACTGTCCCGGGAACCAGCCGTGGCCCTGGGGGTCTGGACTGTCCCTGGGAACCAGCTGTGGCCCTGGGGGTCTGGACTGTCCCTGGGAACCAGCCGTGGCCCTGCAGGGTCTGGACTGTCCCGGGAACCAGCCGTGGCCCTGCGGGGTCTGGACTGTCCCTGGGAACCAGCCGTGGCCCTGCGGGGTCTGGACTGTCCCTGGGAACCAGCCGTGGCCCTGGGGGTCTGGACTGTCCCTGGGAACCAGCCGTGGCCCTGCGGGGTCTGGACTGTCCCTGGGAACCAGCCGTGGCCCTGGGGGTCTGGACTGTCCCTGGGAACCAGCTGTGGCCCTGCGGGGTCTGGACTGTCCCTGGGAACCAGCCGTGGCCCTGGGGGTCTGGACTGTGTGGGGTCTGGACTGTCCCTGGGAACCAGCTGTGGCCCTGGGGGTCTGACTGTCCCGGGAACCAGCCGTGGCCCTGGGGATCTGGACTGTCCCTGGGAACCAGCCGTGGCCCTGCGGGGTCTGGACTGTCCCTGGGAACCAGCCGTGGCCCTGCGGGGTCTGGACTGTCCCTGGGAACCAGCCGTGGCCCTGGGGGTCTGGACTGTGTGGGGGTCTGGACTGTCCCTGGGAACCAGCTGTGGCCCTGGGGGTCTGGACTGTCCCGGGAACCAGCCGTGGCCCTGGGGGTCTGGACTGTCCCGGGAACCAGCCGGGGCCCTGCGGGGTCTGGACTGTCCCTGGGAACCAGCCGTGGCCCGGCGGGGTCTGGACTGTCCCTGGGAACCAGCCATGGCCCTGGGGGTCTGGACTGTGTGGGGGTCTGGACTGTCCCTGGGAACCAGCTGTGGCCCTGGGGGTCTGGACTGTCCCGGGAACCAGCCGTGGCCCTGGGGGTCTGGACTGTCCCTGGGAACCAGCTGTGGCCCTGGGGGTCTGGACTGTCCCTGGGAACCAGCCGTGGCCCTGCAGGGTCTGGACTGTCCCGGGAACCAGCCGTGGCCCTGCGGGGTCTGGACTGTCCCTGGGAACCAGCCGTGGCCCTGCGGGGTCTGGACTGTCCCTGGGAACCAGCCGTGGCCCTGGGGGTCTGGACTGTCCCTGGGAACCAGCCGTGGCCCTGCGGGGTCTGGACTGTCCCTGGGAACCAGCCGTGGCCCTGGGGGTCTGGACTGCCCCTGGGAACCAGCTGTGGCCCTGCGGGGTCTGGACTGTCCCTGGGAACCAGCCGTGGCCCTGGGGGTCTGGACTGTGTGGGGTCTGGACTGTCCCGTGAACCAGCTGTGGCCCTGCGGGGTCTGGACTGTCCCTGGGAACCAGCTGTGGCCCTGGGGGTCTGGACTGTCCCTGGGAACCAGCTGTGGCCCTGGGGGTCTGGACTGTCCCTGGGAACCAG